TATCTCGTGCACAAGAATGATTAAAACAATTGATGTCAGGAGTCATGGACCTCCAGATTGTTGGTTGCCCATGCCATGGATATGTATGGATATGTCATGCCATGTCAATTTGCGGAAGGTTGTACTGGAATTCCCTTGTCCTGAGCCAAGGAACATTGGGAACATTGAATGTTCAACACACCGCACCCCAAAAAGTTACAGATGATACACAACTAAACTACTGTATATTGAGCTAAAATGATTCCAAAGGAGCATGCGACATACTCCTCGGTCGCCATCGTCATCCCCATAAAAGCCGTTTGAACCACGAGTCCTACCGTAGCGGCTGTGGCCAGGAACATCCGTGCCGGTACGTTTTCGCTGGAGTCTCTGCCGATTTTCCCCCCGAAAGAATCGTGTGGGCCCGCGGTGGAGATATTGGCAGAGCATCTGCGAGCGGAGGCACAGCCGGGGCAAGAGGTGGGGATGCGCTCTCTGAAACTAATTATAGGCTACAGGTATTGCGACCAAGCATCTTCCAGGTAAGCTAATTATCAACCAACTTAGCTAACAATCAACCATCACTTTGTGGTCATTCACCTGGTAAACAGTATAGCTGACAATGGTGAGCATGGTTTTTCACATTGTCATGGTTGGGCCATTCATAGCTGCGACCCCGAGATGCCATTGAGCTGGGGCTGCCACAGCAGATTGAAACAGGTTGCGTGGTCTGTATTCCTAACTGCTATGGCTATGAATATTTACAATATATACATAGGTATAATTATATAGATATAGTATAGAAATATAGATTTAGATGTGGAGAGAGAGAGAGAGAAGGAGAGTTACATATATATATACTGTATACGTATATATATATATATACAGAAAGAAATGTTGTTCTCAGTTGACACTCACGATCAAGGAAAAATCATCGGTTGTACGCTGATACAGAATGATGATATGTTTGTTGGTTTTACAATGAGAGAGACTAGAAGCATGAAGGAACATCCGGGTAATGTTGATGAATGTAATCAGTGTTGTCCTTAACTCTAGCTTCTAGCTGACCTTTCTCTAATGTCACTATTGTTTCACGATTGATATTGTCATGAACGATTGACTATGCTTCATAACAAGCCCCAACAAGATAGAACAGCAAATCCTACTAAAAGAAAAAATGTAGATTCTTAGTGACTGTCCTATCATTTTAGTAGTTATTACTATTTCACCGTGAAACTCATGGTGTTGTTGGTTCATTGTTGGTTCATTGTTGGTTCAGCCATAGAGTTGGAAGATCTCCGAAGGCATGCATCATTCCAAGAGCACAAGGGGGGAATTCAGGTGACAAGAATCTATCAGAATGATATAATACCAGAATAATAGCAGTAACATACTGATGATCATGCTTTAAGCACATATTTCACAATGTCAAAATATGTCAAAATCGTAATCATGATCATGACGTGTGGAAACCACAATCATCGTCAGAACCAACACCACCATCACCATCACCATAATCATCATGATCATCATGATCATGATCATCATCATGATCATCATCATGATCATAATGATCATAATGATCATAATGATCATCATCATCATCATCACCACGATCATGTGTTTTTGTTTTGTGAAACCTGCCTTAAATGATAAAAAGGTCCAGGAACGTTGCAGCGATATTTAATGGTGATGAAAGATGGTCTGGAAACGGTTTGTTCCAGCCTTCAGAAACTACCGGAGGGATCTGCAGGGTAAATTGCCAGCTAAGTGAGGCTGGTGAGTGTGCCTCCATACTGGGTCGCATGCTTACTATGATTTGCAGAAAGGTGCATATGGCATATACCCTTTATTCAACGTATATAACTTTGGAAAATCACATTTGTTGGGAGGTAAATCATCACAAATCATCTATAAATGGGCCATGGTTTCGGTAGTAAACTGCTAAATAATCAGAGGGTATGATGTATAACATAGCGACCTCACAACGAGCTACGAGCTAACGGTACATGGTCACTAGTAAGTGGAAACCTCCCCAAACTGGCCTGAATCGAAACTTATCATGAAGTACCGTATTTCATATCAAGGCACATGATGTATATGTAATACACACGTTACACACACACACACATCAGTTTCACTCCCGTGTTTTGACATGAACGTCCCAAAATTGTTTGATCTATGTGTTGGTCCATCCTGCTTAGTTGATAGATTACAACTTACAAGTGAGCTACGCCTACTTACCTCCATTTATAGCCACACACGAATTTCATAAAATCCTATAAGACTATCAGTGGACTACTACCCCCCTTGGAAGTTGCCTTACCCACAACCCATATATTTACCCAGGTCCACTGCAGCATCCGACAGGTGCAACGGTGCAAGCTGACGGGGCAAAGTCCCTCACTGCACCGTGCCATGTTGCGCTGGTGGAAGGCTGGAGATGAAGATCAAGTAACATGACATGTTAGAAAAGCCAGAATAAACTACCTATATGTTCATGGCTACCAACCATGGTACAATGATGGTTTACTGTTGCTTTACTCACGTTAATATGTATATATATATATTGTGTTGAAAGGTAAACCCCTAAACAGCCAATTTTATAGGGAACATGATGATGAACCAATGGATTTTGTGGTAAACGTATATATATATATATAATTGTGTAATATATGTATTGAAAGGGCATGTGTATTTCAGCATCCGCGATTATAAAACCATGCATCGCGATTGATCGGCGATTGGTTCGCGATTGAGACAAACATTTGTTGTAGAAGAATCGACTATTGTAAGAGGAGAAATCAATAATTATATGGCATGATACTAGTAAATATATTGCATTTCAGCCTTATACTGTATTTGGGTCTGCCTAGAGTCTAAAAATGTGATTTCCTGCTGTTTTTTTTTCCCACATATTCACACATTTTTTTACATGTTGTTCACATGTTTTCACATGTTTGAAACACATGTTTTTCACTTTTTTAAAAATTGCATTTTTGAAACACTTGTTTGTTCACATATTTTTTTACATGTTTTACATGGTTTTCACATGTTTTACAAATGTTTAATTAATTAATCATTGTTTTCAGGTTTGTAGCTGGAAACGGCCATCAAGCTTAGACACTGTGTTCAATAGTGATAGCCAATAGCAAAGAAGAATCAGAACAACAAAGTTCAAAGTCTAACAACCCAGATCATTTCTTTTTTTAAATGAAATCCGCGATTGGTTCGCGGTAGTTGATCCGCGATTGCTCCGCGAAAGCTAAACCCGCCTGAGTAGGCCCTGGCTTACGCCATGTCTCTATACTGTGACATGTAGCAATGTTTTGACCTACCACAGAACCCTCACGCGATTGACACCGTTGGGATCGCGGTTGATTCGCGGTTGATCGGCGATTATCAGGATTTGAACCATACAAAATGTTTCGGAGAGAAATGACCAAGAAATGCATGGACTTCACAGGCAGTATTTAAAAAAACATATGATGGATATCAAGATATCACCAAACATGAGGATGCCTATCCTTATTAATCCACATGTTCCACATGTTCCACGTTGTTCCACCCCTGATTCAGGGTTTCTTCGTGCAAGAAGCCTTGCGCGCGGTTCTGTTTTCATGTCTCTTTGTGCTGACACCCTTCCTTCTCCAGCAGACGATTCGATCCTTGGGCAACACAAGACTGATTGCCTTGAAAACAGATTTGGGAGTTGTCGAAGAATTATTACCCTTCTGTTTTTCTTGATTGCTAAGAGAAATGGCCTATTTATAGATGATCTACCTACTAAGTATAATTGGTTATGTTCCATGAGGCTATGTTAAACCACCAGAAGGTATCCAGATCTCTACTGTTGGATTTTAGATTTTAATACGTTTGGTGCGTTTATTTGTTTCCGCACTTGCACCGGTGATTCTATAATCCCAGTTGACTTCATCATATTTTAGAATTTGTTGAATACGCCAGCAAGATCTCAACCGTCCGATGGACTCCCATGGGCGCTGCAATCTGTTTCTGGTAAGATGGCCACAAAACGGGATCATGATTTTCCCAATAGGACTTGGGTTGTTTCATGTTTTTTTTCTTCAGTTGTCACGACAACAAACCCTTTGGATCACTTTGGTCCAAATCAAAATTGTTTCACCTGCGTCGAGGATGCTTGCGCACCGGAGATCATATGGAAGCGATGATTTGGTTGGCAGCTTTGCCTCTCAGTGGCATGCTGGGTGGTCTCTTGGCTCAGAGTTCTTGGCCTGGTAAGTTATACAACATTCAGCATCATTCAATGATGATGGAATATTCTCAAATGTAGCTATTTATTTGATATCAATGGGATAGTTATTACAAATCTATTTAAACCCGATTATTCTCAAATGTAGCTAAAAGAATACGACGTATGTGTGTGTGTGTGTGTGTTCCAACAAAAACAACGAGTGTCAATGATTGTAGTACGGGCAATCGCATGGGGCCCAAATTGATCGATTGCACCCTGAGATGATCTTCGAACGCGGCAGGCTTGGTGCAGCAACATGGATTTCACGCCTGCACGTTGTTTGGACGGCAGACGTGGGCTGGCTTGGTGGGTAACATCTTCAGAAAGTTGACCACATTGGATCCTCGAGTTTAAAGATCCATGTGAAACGTACACGGGTGTGTCTGAAAATGCGATGTAACATATACCTTGGAATTATCTGTTTGAATAGGGAAACAATGGGAAACACCTGATTAAGAAGAGGATTTTGGGTACCTATCTTTAGACAAACCCATATGGTACTGAAAGCTCTTATGGACGTGCCCACTATAAATGGCTTTGGAAGAGGCCTATAGTAATCAGTGAAGATGACAAGGTTTGGGTTTTATCCATGTTGCTGGGTAAATTCTGTTTATAATTATGTGGTCCTTGAGTATTGAACAAGTTGCCAGAACAAACTCATCCTTCCACGAGTCGAATCATTGTGGCTGACTTCCTTGGCATCCAGGATACGTCCGCTTCGAAAGTGACAGAGGGTGAGATTGTTTCGATGATTGGGCAAGATGCAAGCATTTGGCCCTACATGTCACCTTTTCTCAGAATCTCGACTTGATGTAACCCGGAACTGGGTCCAAGACTGGCCGGCCCTTTCGGAGTATTGAACAGGTTTTTGATTGGACTAGTACAATCTAATACAATCCTCAGGCCAGTTGTTAGTGTTTGCTTCTATCAGCTTACAGTACATTCATTTTCAGGCCAGTCTCTTGATATCATTGGCTCGAAACCATCCAAACTGTCCGCTCAAGTTTTGGCCAATCGCCTTCATTTTTATTAATCCTTATGGCTCAGGTCAAAAATGCCCCCTTTTGAGTCTGTTGGAGGCATCCTCAGCCCCCTGAGAGGGACTCAGATGGATGTGATGTGACTTGATGGTACCTCTACACTGCCGACGATTTTGTAGCACACTGGAATTGATTCTCAAATGATAGGAAAATCAACATATAAACTCCGAACAACAGGGTTTTCAAACATATTCGAGATTCCTTGGAATCTGACGTGAAAAACTGGTCCTTGCGTTTCGAAGGATTGTGCCAACCTTGCATATGATACCAAGTACTTTTCTGGGTCACTAACATGTGACCCACTATGAGTACAGGATATGTCCCTCGTTGCAGCTAGCAGTTTGGATAGAAAATGAGCCCCGAGTGGGATGGACCCTTGCGCATAGCTATAGCCTTAGATACCCCAGGAGTACAAAACAAGAAACAAACTAGGAAGATAGTAAATACATGTAAATACCGATTGTACCCAGATGTCTCTACTACTTGGCATGCATAAAACATCTTCCATTTGTTTCAGTAATAATATCCAGAACATTGCAGAACATAGTGCATGATACCTATGAAATGGTGAACTGGCAGGTCAAACTGGCTTTAACACCAAACAACAACTGTCCTTCCTTGGGAAATCCCATCTCGATGATAAACGTCCTCATAGGTCAAGGAACATCCAACTTACCCAGATGTAAACCTGCCATCAAACACACCTGTTCCCAATGGCTATCTATATCTTGATCTAGCTACATGTTGTTGCTTAGACTCCACATCTCTACTATTATAACGCAGCATGTGCTCCCCATTCATACAATATCCATCAAGATCCTAGGTCCTTATCCATCTCCATATTGAGATTGGCAAACCATCAAACCAAAACCGGAACATTCAGATTCTAGCCATGTTTCGTTGCTTTAACTCCTAAAGTGTGGGAATATCATTCAAATAGCCACTCAAAAAAGAAGACGGGGACAATTGCCATGTAAGCCACTAAAAAGTTTGCGGCTTTCCCATATTTGTTTGGCTTACATCCCTTCAAACACACTCAAACTTCTAGTTTTGAGGGAAAGCGTACAGGAAACCTCTACATGGGTAGTAAAAACCATGGTTTCAACCGCCTTTTTTCCCCAGCAGAACCCATTGCCTCAGGCATTTTCTCCGCCATTCCGGGCAACTTGCTACTGCCCGGCACGATCTTAGCGTTCTTTTTGGGCCGGGCCTTCTTCGCAGGGCTCGCTGCCTGCATTTTGTTGGTGGTCTTGAGCAACTGTGCAGCGGCCAAATATAAACAGAAGGTGCAGGAGAAGCTTCAGGTGACATGGCAGGGATGTATGACTCATGGTTAGGATTCGGGGAATCATCCCCAAATGGCCTTATTTGAAGTGGGGGTCCGGCTGGCGCAAGGGAAGAGAGTGGCCTTATTTCAGGAAAGTGAATTACTAAATATACCAAGATTGATGGGTGATACTAATCAAGGTGGCCTCAAACGTGGCAGAGGGCTGGGAAATCTCTAAAACACGAAATGGCAATTTAAAAGGGAAAATCATCCGTAAAAGGGGGAAATTGTCCATTGCCATGTTTGATTGCCAGAGCGTGAAAACCTATATGAAATAAACAGGTCAACTATGGTTTATGGTATATATTATATTAATATATTTGAATATATTTGATGGATCAATGGGATGTAACCCAAATTAATGGTATATTTTACATTATTTTACCAAATCCAATGGTATATCATTAGTATATTAATATATTTATGGTATATTTGATGGATCCAAATGTAATGTATTCATTTGGATTCAACCAACGCTCCCCTCACTCCCAATGGTTGGCGGGTTTGGCGGGTTTCCACCAGCCGCCGTATCGGCTCTGAGCCGTCTATCATGGGCGGGGTGGCTGAATACCCATGACGTATAGGTAGTTATCTGTACGTATGTATATAAGTGATTATAATTGTATATTATATATATAAATGTATATACATATCTAAAATTATCTATATACATTGTATGTAATGATGATGACTATGATTAGCAATGGTTGGATGATCTCCGGATGGGTATGCCGGGTTTCGGGACTCAGTATGCTTTCGCATAGACGTGCAGAAAATGTGTCAACATGTGCTGGTTATGTTTTTTGATGTTTTTTCCGCCATGTGTTTTTTTGATGATCCGAAATTGACGACTACCAAGCAGCTTTTATTGTCAATTGTTGGATGGGTAAAGCATCGTATGTTTCAAACAATAACACCATGAGATCCAAAGAGTTTTGGTTCATGCTGAGTCCTAAACCATCCACATGTTCAGATACACCCGAGTTTGACCTCTGACCATATATACACTCCTTAAATTCAAGATGGAATCCACGTTCCAAAACATGGAGTTAGATAGATGATGTTCCTCTTAGATATGGCCATGTTTGGTTTCCATGTCATATTTTGGAAGTGTAATTGTTTGCATAGGTATACGGTATGTATAGATATATATATATATAATTATATATAATGTTTTACATATATTATCATATTATTTATATATATATACACATATTAATATGTTAGTTAGAGTAAACCTTGCTGATTGGTCCTTGGTGCCTTCAAAAAAATGTGATGCCCAATGCCTCATCTCTGGTGGTGACCAGAGGGGGATGAAATAGGATCATTTTGACCCAATACGCTAGCCTCTTTTGACCACTGGGGAGAGGGGAATGCTATATAAGTTTATATAAGTATGGATAGATTATCAGATTATATACACATGGTATAATTGTTTATATATATATGTATAATACACAGATAGTGGTGAGAAAGCCATTGATGATGACAAACCAGAGCCAATTTACACATTTGGTTTTGGTGTACTAAAATTTGACATCATGATTCAAGACGGTTATGCAATACAATGGAATATGGATACATGTTTTTTAGCCAACAGTTGGCCAGACCTCATTTTACGTTCTAAGTGATGTGAGATACAGTAGTATCCTTAAGTTATCCGATAGAGAATCAATTATACCAAGTATACCATACTTGACAATCAACCATTTGGTGCAATGCCAATTTTGTAAGAATGGTATGATTGGGTTTACCGGACGGTGGTAAAATTTGTGTGGCAATCTGAAAATAGCCAAAAGACATGTGAAAAGGTATCGCAAGCTGAGTAGCCGATGATTGGATGATTCCTACAGACTTGACGACCGTGAGTCGGGGTTCAAACATACCTTCACAAAATTCTCAAAACCGTAGTTGATTTTCCTCTAAGAAAAGATGGGTCTTCAAAATCTAGTAATACAGTAAGGTTTCCATCTATTATAGTTGGATTTCACTGACTTGTCGCCAGGTAAGATTCGGGGAGCACCGATCCCAACGCATCATCTCACTCAACGCATCATCCCGGCTGTCCAAAGAAAAACTTACCCTCCGGTAAACTAACATAGCTATTGAAAATGACCATTTATAGTGGATTTTCCCATCAAAAATGGTGATTTTCCATAGTTATGTTAGTTTACCAGAGGGTAAGTCATTGCACCGTAAATGTCCGGCCAGGTGGCAGACGAACGCTTGGTTTTGATCAACGAAACCCTGCAGGGAGCTCGATCTGTGAAGCTTTGTGCCTGGGAATCTCGGTGAAGCGACAGCCGACAGGCGAAGCATGGCATGGCATCGATCTCCAAGTGCTTGGAACGTATTCCTTCCATTGAACCAGCAAAAAGATCCAAAAAGATCCAAAAAGGGCAAACTATGGGAGCTGATACTAAATTGATTTTCCATTTGTCCTTTAACGTGTCATTGTGACATGAGAGTATGGCTCTTCTCCAACTGCAGCTGATGTGGTATGACAACCGCGGCCTACAGGGTGTTACCCACATGGTAATTGCAAGCTAACGCAAGATGAACTTGGCCGCAATTCCCTCTAGGATCCAATTTGGTGTTGACGGTACGATTCAGGGTTGTATTGATTCCTCGTCATGGTCTCCGCCTTGACGTCGGGATCGAGCACATCCCAGTTGCTTCATGTATATTTACTGAACATTTACACCAAAAATGACCCAGGGTGTAAAGATATGTGGACCATGTACGCACTGTTGATCATTGTTTTTTTGGTGGCAACAATGTCTCGGCGCTCCCGTTAGGAATGCGCATTAGAGGAGAAGATCAACAAAGTTCGAGAGAAGGAGTCGTTGGAGTCAAGCAGCGCAGCAGACGTGGTCAAAAGTTGAAGTATCCATATTGGGGAATGATCATTAATAGTGATTCATAGGGATTTATATATAGGGATTCATAGTGATTCACAATGATTCATAGTGATATCATAATGATATCATGATGATTCATAGTGATATCACGGTGATATCATAATGATATCATAATGATTCATATACCCATTGATTCAGTTTTGCCACCATGGGATGGACGACACCCCTTCATCCCATATTGACCATGGCACATAGTCCAAGATACTCCAAGCCAGCGACGCTGGTCAATGTTTGCAATGGGAACATGTTTCAGATTCATGGTGTCAATAGTCATTCGGAGAAACCTTGAAGTCAGTATCAACAGCTAGGTCTTGTGGGTTATAAATGGTGAAAGCACGTTTATGGCACTGTACCCCACTTTCATCTCAGCTGCGATCTATCAACCGTTGATAGACGCCAAGATGGTTATCCCGACATTGAGCTTGGTTGGCTTAAATCCACAAACTAGCCACAGGGCCATGTGCGAACAGTTCGGGTTTGATCCGGGACTCATATGTCGATCAATCGATATTCGAGGATGTAATCGCTCAATTTCGTATTCATTTCTTTCACGTTATGGATCTGAACTTGAGGAACACTATGTTGCATCCAACAATTCATCAATATCTGTCACCAACATCCCATCACTTGTGGCTACATGGTGAACCTACGGGTGCTGTGACTGTGTTCAGACATGGAAGCTTGCCGTCGGGCCTTTTGGATCGGTGCAGTGACTGTTCAGCGGCCAATCTCCCCCCTGGTGCAGACGGTGTGCTGATTTCGCCCCAAAAGAAGCTGCAAGCTAGTTGGGTATGGATCAATACCTATTAATACCATTTTTAGGGGGATGAACATCCACTTACCAGCTATTTTGATGTTCACCAGGGGTAATGTTACATCGACAATAGTAAAGGGGGGTCCCCCCCCCGTACGAGGGAAAAACATGTACTATGTGGCGCGCGCAGTTTTCCTTGTAAAAAATCTAAATTTGGGTCACGTGAATTTAAAATTCAATCGTAAAATTCTAAATTCTTCCAAGCTCCAAATTTAGAATTTTTAGAATTCAATTCTAAAAATTCTAACTTTTTCCCACCTCCAAATTTAGAATTTTTAGAATTCAATTCTAAAAATTCTACAAATTCTAAATTTTTCCCAGCTCCAAATTTAGAATTTTTAGAATTCAATTCTAAAAATTCTACAAATTCTAATTTTTTCCAAGCTCCAAATTTAGAATTTTTAGAATTCAAGTCAACAAATTCTAAAAATTATACATTTTTCCAAGGTCCAAATTTAGAATTTTTAGAATTCAATTCTAAAAATTCTAAATTTTTCCCAGCTCCAAATTTAGAATGTTTAGAATTTTTAGAATTCAATTTTAAAAATTTTAAAAATTCTAAATTTTTCCAAGCTCCAAATTTAGAATTTTTAGAATTCAAAGCTGGTTTTGGGGAAGTTGAACTAATTCTAATTTAGAATTTGTAGAATTGAATTCTAAAAATTCTAAATTTTTCCCAGCTCCAAATTTAGAATTTTTAGAATTTTTAGAATTCAAAGCTGGTTTTGGGGAAGTTGAACTAATTCTAATTTAGAATTTTTAGAATTTTTAAAATTGAATTCTAAAAATTCTAAAAATTCTAAATTTTTCCCAGCTCCAAATTTAGAATGTTTAGAATTTTTAGAATTCAATTTTAAAAATTCTAAAAATTCTAAATTTTTCCAAGCTCCAAATTTAGAATTTTTAGAATTTTTAGAATTGAATTCTCAAAATTCTAAAAATTCTAAATTTTTCCAAGCTCCAAATTTAGAATTTTTAGAATTCAAAGCTGGTTTTGGGGAAGTTGAACTAATTCTAATTTAGAATTATTAGAATTTTTAGAATTGAATTCTAAAAATTCTAAAAATTCTAAATTTTTCCAAGCTCCAAATTTAGAATTTTTAGAATTTTTACAATTCAATTCTAAAAATTCTAAAAATTCTAAATTTTTCCCAGCTCCAAATTTAGAATTTTTAGAATTTTTAGAATTCAATTCTAAAAATTCTAAAAATTCTAAATTTTTGCAAGCTCCAAATTTAGAATTTTTAGAATTCAATTCTAAAAATTCTAAAAATTCTAAATTTTTCCAAGCTCCAAATTTAGAATTTTTAGAATTTTTAGAATTCAATTCTAAAAATTCTAAAAATTTTAAATTTTTCCAAGCTCCAAATTTAGAATTTTTAGAATTCAAAGCTGGATTTGGGGAAGTTGAACTAATTCTAATTTAGAATTTTTAGAATTTTTAAAATTTTTTGAATTTTTAGAATTCAATTCTAAAAATTCTGAAAAGTCTAAATTTTTCCAAGCTCCAAATTTAGAATTTTTAGAATTCAATTCTAAAAATTCTAAAAATTCTTAAATTTTTCCAAGCTCCAAATTTAGAATTTTTAGAATTTTTAGAATTCAATTCTAAAAATTTTAAATTTTTCCAAGCTCCAAATTTAGAATTTTTAGAATTTTTAGAATTCAAAGCTGGATTTGGGGAAGTTGAACTAATTCTAATTTAGAATTTTCAGAATTTTTAAAATTTTTAGAATTTTTAGAATTCTAAAAATTCTAAAAATTCTAAATTTTTCTCCAAATTTAGAATTTTTAGAATTTTTAGAATTCAATTGTAAAAATTCTAAAAATTCTAAATTTTTCCAAGCTCCAAATTTAGAATTTTTAGAATTTTTAGAATCCAAAGCTGGATTTGGGGAAGTTGAACTAATTCTAATTTAGAATTTTTAGAATTGAATTCTAAAAATTCTAAAAATTCTAAATTTTTCCCAGCTCCAAATTTAGAATTTTTAGAATTTTTAGAATTCAATTCTAAAAAGTCTAAAAATTTTAAATTTTTCCAAGCTCCAAATTTAGAATTTTTAGAATTGAATTCTAAAAAATCTAAAAATTCTAAATTTTTCCAAGCTCCAAATTTAGAATTTTTAGAATTTTTAGAATTCAAAGCTGGTTTTGGGGAAGTTGAACTAATTCTAATTTAGAATTTTTAGAATTCAATTCTAAAAATTCTAAAAATTCTAAATTTTTCCCAGCTCCAAATTTAGAATTTTTAGAATTGAATTCTAAAAATTCTAAAAATTCTAAATTTTTCCAAGCTCCAAATTTAGAATTTTTAGAATTTTTAGAATACAATTCTAAAATTTTTAAAAATTCTCAAAATTCTCAAAATTCTAAAGTAGAATTAGTTCAACTTTCCCAAATCCAGCTTTGAATTCTAAAAATTCTAAAAATTCTAAATTTGGAGCTTGGAAAAATTTAGAATTTTTAGAATTTTTACAATTGAATTCTAAAAATTCTAAAAATTAAAAATTTGGAGCTGGGAAAAATTTAGAATTTTTAGAATTTTTAGAATTGAATTCTAAAAATTCTAAAAATTTTAAAAATTGTAAAAATTCTAAATTAGAATTAGTTCAACTTCCCCAAATCCAGCTTTGAATTCTAAAAATTCTAAAAATTCTAAATTTGGAGCGTGGAAAAATTTAAAATTTTTAGAATTTTTAGAATTGAATTCTAAAAATTCTAAATTTGGAGCTTGGAAAAATTTAGAATTTTTAGAATTGAATTCTAAAAATTCTAAAAATTCTAAATTTGGAGCTTGGAAAAATTTAGAATTTTTAGAATTTTTAGAATTGAATTCTCAAAATTCTCAAAATTTTAAAAATTCTAAAAAATCTAAATTAGAATTAGTTCAACTTCCCCAAATCCAGCTTTGAATTCTAAAAATTCTAAAAATTCTAAATTTGGAGCTTGGAAAAATTTAAAATTTTTATAATTTTTAGAATTGAATTCTAAAGATTCTAAAAATTCTAAATTTGGAGCTTGGAAAAATGTAGAATTTTTAGAATTTTTAGAATTCAATTCTAAAAATTCTAAAAATTCTAAATTTGGAGCCTGCAAAAATTCAGATTTTTTAGAATTTTTAGAATTCAATTCTAAAAATTCTAAAAATTCTAAATTTGGAGCTTGGAGAAATTTAGAATTTTTAGAATTTTTAGAGTTCAATTCTAAAAATTCTAAAAATTCTAAATTAGAATTAGTTCAACTTTCCCAAATCCAGCTTTGAATTCTAAAAATTCTAAATTTGGAGCTTGGAAAAATTTAGAATTTTTAGAATTTTGAGAATTGAATTCTAAAGATTCTAAAAATTCTAAATTTGGAGCTTGGAAAAATTTAGAATTTTTAGAATTCAATTCTAAAAATTCTAAATTAGAATTAGTTCAACTTCCACAAATCCAGTTTTGAATTGTAAAAATTCTAAATTTGGAGCTTGGAAAAATTTAGAATTTTTAGAATTTTTAGAATTCAGTTCTAAAAATTCCAAAAATCTAAATTTGGAGCTTGGAAAAATTTAGAATTTTCAGAATTTTTAGAATTGAATTCTAAAAATTCAAAAAATTCTAAATTAGAATTAGTTCAACTTCCCCAAAACCAGCTTTGAATTCTAAAAATTCTAAATTTGGAGCTTGGAAAAATTTAGAATCTTTGAAATTTTTAGAATTGAATTCTAAAAATTCTAAATTTGGAGCTAGGAAAAATTTAGAATTTTTAGAAATTTTAGAATTGAATTCTAAAAATTCTAAAAATTTTAAAAATCCTCAAAATTCTAAATTAGAATTAGTTCAACTTCCCCAAATCCAGCATTGAATTCCAAAATTCTAAAAATTCTAAATTTGGAGCTTGGAAAAATTTAGAATTTTTAGAATTGAAGTCTAAAAATTCTAAAAATTCTAAATTTGGAGCGTGGAAAAATTTAGCATTTTTAGAATTTTTAGAATTGAATTCTAAAAATTCTCAAAATTCTAAATTTGGAGCTTGGAAAAATTTAGAATCTTTTTTGAATTTTTAGAATTCATTTTCAAAAAATCTGAAAATTCTAAATTAGAATTAGTTCAACTTCCCCAAATCC